TTCATACATTAATATAAAACACACATACAGGTGACAGATTTAGGCATAAGTCCCTATTACACTGCAGCACAGTACACGGGGCATTACAACAATACAGGCAACAGAGCACTACACTACAGGTGGCTATATATTACAATCAAGGACAGGTGATCTGTTCAGCTAGAAAGCCATGTTACATTCATATACAGTAACAAGGGTTCCAACACTATGAAAGTGCCAGTTCAGGATGCACGCATGAATATGACAGAACAGCACAGGTGACAGTTTTAAACATAAGTATTACAACACAACAGAGGTAACAGTTCAGATAACGGTGCAATACACAGTTTGGAGTGTTACAATCAAGTACCGATGACGTTTTCCAATAATCCACAGTCCATGTGTTACACAGAAATACAGTACAGAGACCTGAGTGTTACAACATTGTACAAGGGACAGTTCAGTACAGCAGTCCTTGTATTAAAACACAGTACACAGCTCTGAGCATTAATAAACAGTACAAGTGACAGTTCAACACACCACTCCTCAATTTCACAACAGCACAGTACGCAGGACTGAGTGTTACAACACAGTTCAACGAGAGGGCTACATCTGCTTGGGGAGGCAACAGAGGAACAAGGTCAACTTTCTCACCTGCTGAAGAGAAGAAAGGAAACAGTTCAGCTGTGGAGCTTTCTACACAACTGTTACGACAAGTGACAGTTCAGTATTAGAGTAGGAGTACAGCTGACAGTTTGGTACACAGGTCATATTACATTTTAGTACAGTAGACATGGCTGGGTATTACAACAGTACAGGTGACAGTTCACATCACAGAATAGCAGACAGGTCAGGGTACTACACCACAATACAAGTGGCAGTTCACATCACCATCCACTACACAGGTCTGGGTATTATAATATCACAGGACACAGGGCTGAGTCTGACAATAGGACAGTTAATTTCAACACTGAGACCTGAGTATTCAAATACACTGCGAGCACAGGTTTAAGAAATGGTTGTAGCACTGAGAATTAAAGTTCAGTTTGAACAAGAGATCAGCACACTAGATTAAGTAGTTTAGTACAGTCCAAGTGAGAGCTGAACACAGATCTGAGAATTATTTTTTTTAAAAAAGGTGAGAGTAAAGCACACAGGTGTGTCATTGAGTATTGAAACTCAGTCAAGGTAAGAGTGTAGCACTCACAGATGCGAGTATTAAAGTCCACTATAGATGAAGGTTGAGCATAGACGTCACTGCATAGTACAGATCGCTCCAAGTGAGAGTTCAGCACGCTAGTTAAAGTATTAAAGCTCAGTATAGGTGAGAGTTCAGAACAAGTCTGAGCACTGCAAAATAATACCAATTCACATATCCGAGTATAACACAATACAGGGTACAGTTCATCACACAGGGTTGAGTATTCAAATAGTACAGCTGACAGTCCAGCACACAGATTTGAGTATTAAAATACACTGCTTGTGAAGGTTTAGCATGCATGTCACTGAGTATTAAAACTCACTTACAAGTCAGGGATCAGCCCACTGGGTTTACTATTACAGTACAGCAAAGGTGAGAGTAAAGCACACAGGTGTGTCATTGAGTACTGAAACTCAGTAGAGGTAAGAGTGTAGCACACAGATTTGAGTATTGAAGTACACTACAGATGAAGGCTCAGCATACACGTCACTGAATATTAAAGCTCAGTACAAGCTCACCTCCCTGGTTTAAGTATTTCAGTACAGTCCAGGTGAGACCTGACGACAGATTGAAGTATTGAAGCACAGTAAGAGTTAAGTTTACAGGTTTAAGTATTACTACGCATTACAGTTCAGTGGAGATGAGAGTTCAGAACACAGGCTTCAGTATTAAAAACACTGGAAAAAGTACCCATTATGTTGAGTACACTCGAGGTGACAGATGAGCACACAGGTTTCTGTATTAAAGCACAGGAAAAAAACACTGGTTTAAGTTTTTTAGTCCAGAGCTGACCACAC